CCTTTGTGTCTTATATATCCAAAATGATCAAACCTGAAAAAGACTAAAACATTTACCTCTTTAACAGTTGTTTTTATGAAATCTTTCCTTTCAGTTAAATCGTAAGCAGGATAATTTTCATAGACCTATAGTGAAAAGGAAAAACAATGTTAAAAGCAGATTTAAAAATCAAATACTCTTTTCATAGGAAGAGGAAATCTATGCTATGTACAAATAGCTGCATGTACATTATAACAGTACTTTGGTTCACCATACAGAATTCTATCGCAAATGAGTAGGTTTTAATAATACTGTATACAAAGGAGAAAACCAGCATGTAAACATTCTCAGTGCTTTATAGGTTGGTAGTGTGGGCTGAATTAACAACAAACATGGGTGAGGCAAACCCGTAGATAAACCTCTTCCGTCTCCAACACTCTACATATGATTCCACAACCTGAACTTCAGTCTCTACTCCACTCTGCTCAGTCCTCTCCCTAAACTTATTAGGCTATTAAGTATGGAATGGCCGATTTCCTTAAGGACTAAGTTTGACAGTTGATATCTGACATTTCACTTTGACACTTTTTAATTATGAAGGTACATCCTCATTCTTTCAAATGCACACTTTGGTTGGTGATTATCAAGTTTTTTTTTTTAGGGCAATTTTTGTGAAACCACGTATAAGTCAAAAATTCGTGTTATTTTTGAATATGAGTCGTCGTGGAACTAATGCAGCATAGACAGCTCAAAATATCAGCGAAGTGTTTGGGAAGGATGTGGCTAATGAATGCACAGTACGTCAGTGGTGTGAAAAGTTCCATTCTGGTGATTTTAATCTTGAAAATGAGCCATGTGGGTGACCTGAGACCAAGATGGATAATGATGAGCTGAAAGCTGTAATGGAAGCAAATCCATCTCAACCTATGTGTGAATTGGCAGCAAGATTTGACGTTACTATTCCAACAACACTGGATCATTTGAAACAAATGGGCAAGGTAAAGAAGCTGGATAGATGGGTTTCACATGAATTAAATGAGCATCAGAAGAGAAATCGTTTTGAAGCTTGCCTTTTCTTTGCTGTCACGACAAGGTGAACCATTTCTACACCGTATTGTTATGTGTGATGAAAAATGGATTCTGTTTGACAATTCCAAGTGTTGGCGCAATGGTTGGATAAAGATGAAGTGCCAAAACACAGTCCAAAACTGAATATTTATCACAAAAAGCTAACGGTGTCTGTTGGTCCAGCGCTGGTATTATCCACTACAGCTTCACGAATCCTGGTCAATGACAGCAGATGTCTACTGAAACCAACTGAATGCAATGATGAAGATGCCTGCGATTAAGCAGCCGAGACTGGTCAATACAGACAGGTCAATCCTCTTGTAAGACCACGTGTCTCAAAAAACAACACTGCTTAAACTACAGAAGCTGGACTTGGAAACTCTCTGTCATCTGCTATATTCACCAGAGCTTGCAACAACTGACTACCACTTCTTCCAGGCTTTGGATCACTTCTTGCAATGAAAAATATTCAATTCTCAACAAGCTGTGGAAAATGCCTTTTGCAATTTCATCACCCCTCGCTCTCCAGGCTTCTTTGCTGCTGGCATAAACAAGTTACCAGTAAGAATGGCAAAACTGTGTTTAGGTGCATACTTTAATTGTACTGATTGTTTGAGATATAATAAACTAAATTTTTGATTCGAAATCAGACATTTCATATTTAATGACCTAATAGTAAATAGTTTCAGCTTTGCCATTCACAGTTTCTGTCACAACCACTCATCTATACTGTTACAGTGTGAAATCTGCCATAAATAATGCTTTAATGAATAGATGTGGCTGTGTCACAATAAAACTTTATTTACAAAATGAGGTGATACAGACAGAATAGATCTGGCCCACAGTCTGTAGTTTGCCAATTTTCAAAACACAGATGGGGGGGCAAGGGCAACATACGTAACCTAAACATCTGTACCCCCATAATATGCTGAAATAAAAAAAAAAAACAACACAGTTGATCATTTAAATTACTTAAATTACTCTAATTGTTGGCCTTTTTCTTTCCCTACAAAAACCCCAGCGCCAAACTGGTCTAACTACCAGTTTTCTATGGTTAAGCCCAGGCCACAGACTGCTGTGGGAAAACAGCTTTGAGTAATTTGGTCCCATTTTCAGTTCAGGGTACTCAACTTCAAAGGGCCCCCAGGACCCCCTTGCCAGGTTCTCCTTTCACTCCCATCAAGGGCAATTTCACCTCCTTCCTCTCAAGTGTCCCACACTTCTGCTTGCAGCCAAGAAGCCATTACTATGAATTCCTTCAACTTGCTGGCATACCTCTTCCTCCTCCAGTTGTATCTGGATTTATCACTGTTTCCTTTGCCTCCAGAGACCCAGCTCTCAACTCTCCTGTAGCTTCTCAGCTTTTCCTTGCCCAGCACTTGACCCTTGACATAACATACGCTTCTCCACCCCCAATTTAGAAAAGATTTTCTCATCGACTTACATCCCCTCATTTGCCTACCAAAGCAAGTTGCTTGAAACAAGATTTAATTCATTTGTTTTCCTCATTATGCATTAATTCTTGGCCGAAGAGTAAATAACCCTTACTTTACCAACCCTCAAAACTGCTCTTATTATGTGATCATCTCCTAAATGCACACTCTAAAAAACGGTCAAGTCCTTTTCACCTAACTTCTATTATTAATAATCCTCCTTTAAAAATTACATAAATATATTCACAAAAATCCTTCAAATGAACAGAACTTCTCTTCAATTTTCCCTCCACTCTGTCCCCATCCTTCTCTCCCCTCAGAGGAAACCAGTGATCAGTTTGGTGTGTAGTCTTCCAGACCTTAAAAAAATTTATACACACACACATGTGTAAGTGGCAGTGGAATTTTTCCATATTTACATAAATGGAGTAGTAGTCTATATATGCTTTAAAAATTTAACAATACCTGGAAGGTTTTTCCATGTTCTTTTGAACTGTTACACAGTATTCCAAAAATATGGATATATCACAGTTTAACCATTTCCCTATCCATCGCCATTTAGGTTGTGTTTCAGTTATTACAGACATGCTGAACATTACTGTAATCATTTTGGTGCAGATGTGACTATGTCTTTAGGACAGAGACCTAGAAATGGAATTGCTAGGTTAAAGGGTATTTGCAATTTAAATTTTAAGACACTTACCTAATTGTTCTCCAAAGAAGCAGTTACAACTTAAGGCATATGAAACTACCTGTTTCCCTATATCCTTGCCAACAATGAAAACTGTCAATCTTTAGAGTTTTTGTCAATCTAACAGGCAAAAATATTTCAATTTCTCTCTGATTAGTACGGAACATTGTGTTTTCTTACATTTACAGGTCTTTTATGTTTTCTGTGAATTGCCTTCCCTATCCATTGCCCCTTGTCCTGTAAGTTAATTATCCATTGCCTCCTCCTACCTGGTGCTGCCCCTTCTTGAGACTGCCTCCTCTCCTGGCTTTCATAGCATCCCTCCCTCTGGCCTTTCTTCTACTACACCAACTCTACAATTTCTTGTTATTTGTAGAAATTACTTCTCAACTGTGTGGTGTTAGTGGTCTTCAGGACTTTGTCCTTTGCTTTTCTCACCCTTTATCTTCCTCTCTGGGCCACCTTATCTATACTCTTGGTTTTAACTCACAGTCTAGATTTCTCTCCTAAATCAGAGAATTATAATGTTCACAATTTCACCCATTTGGATGTTCCAAGCACTCCATTTCAAAATGTCTAGAACAAAACTTAATCTTTTTTCTCCCCACAGCCCACACCTGCCCCTCCACCAAAACTTATCTTTTCTTCAAAAAGTATTCTTTTTGTTCTAGTCTTTATTATGATTAATGCTAACCAAGCTCTTACATCCACAATGAAGCAACCTTCGTTCAGCCTCTCTTGATTTCTTAGATTATGGCAACCCTGTCATTTTGATGATATAAACTGGAGGTCCTGTCTCTCATCTCATCCTTTGCCAGTCCACTCTTCTTAGTATTTCTAGGATAACTTTTTTGTTTTTGTTTTTTGGGCTTTTTTTTTTTTGAGACAGGGTCTCACTCTGTCGCCCTGGATAGAGTGCAGTGGGGTCATTGTAGCTCACTGTAACCTCAAACTATTGGGCTCAAATGATCCTCCTGCCTCAGCCTCCGAGTAGCTGGGACTTTTGGTGTGCATCACAACACCCGGCTAATTTTTCTATTTTTTTATTTTTTTTGTAGAGACAGGGTCTTGCTCTTCCTTAGGGTAGTCTCAAACTCCTGACTTCAAGCGATCCTCCTGCCTCAGCCTCCCGTAGTATTAATAATAGTATTAAAGGGGTGAGTCAGTGCACTGGCCCCAAGGTAACTTTTAAAAAATAAAAATGATTGTGTTATGTCCCTGCTAAATATGTCTCAATAACCCACCCAACCACCCAATTCCCCATACGTTTCAGAGTTTGGAAGAAAATCAAACTCTGTAACAAGGTACACATGTAAGATGTGCAAAACTCTTTAATATTTTCTCCTAACTTCTGTGAAGACTTCCTTCTAGCCTTGGGACATGTTAAACTAATTACTATTCCTTGCGGTTATCATTTTGGTGAATGTTATTGTTCCTCAACTGCGCTGTACAGCTAATACTCTACTAAGAGCTCTGTTAAGAACTCTTCCGAGATGCTTTTCCAGATTCCAAGCCCAAGTGGGTAATTTGTTCCTTGGTGCTGCAGCACCTTCCATACTCTTCTAACACAGGCTTGACTTACAGTGCTCTAATTACTAAAATATTTGTCTCTTTCTAATCCACTAGACCATAAACCCTCCTTTAAAGCCAAGTGATGGCTTCTTCGGCTCTACTTACAACATTTAGCCCAGTGCCTGATAGGTATTAGAGGCTCAATGAATGGTGAATGAATAAACAAAATAATCAGTGTCCTAATAATAGCACAGGGTATTTTATCTTTGGTACGTTTCAAATTATAATTTCATTTTATCACAAGAAACAAGATTCTAAATCTCCCAATTTTCATCTAGAGTACAGAATCCCTATGAAATCATATTCAAGAACAGGACACTTGTATTTCCTGAGAAGTATTAGAAGAACATCACTGAAGTCTGAGTTAAAAACCTAATCTATAACAGCTCACTTACCATACTAACAAGAGAATTAAGGTGGTCCGTTAAGAGTCTGCTTTTTTTTTTTCTTTTTTTTTTTTTGAGACAGAGTCTCAGTCTGTTGCCCGGGCTAGAGTGCCATGGTGTCAGCCTAGCTCATAGCAACCTCAAACTCCTGGGCTCTACCGATCCTTCTGCCTTAGCCTCCCGAGTAGCTGGGACTACAGGCATGTGCCACCATGCCCAGCTAATTTTTTCTATATATTTTTAGTTGTCCGATTAATTTCTTTCTATTTTTAGTAGAGATGGGGTCTCGCTCTTGCTCAGGCTGGTTTCGAACTCCTGAGCTCAAACAATCTGCCCGCCTCTGCCTCCCAGAGAGCTAGGATTACAGGCGTGAGCCACCGCGCCCGGCCTTAGAGTCTGCTTTTTCAAACGAACACAATCTAAGGATAATTCAATAAAAAGTTTCCAGAGCAGGAAAAGAAAATTTCCTAGAATGTATCACTTTAATTTTATTCACTCTAATTTTAATCATTCTAATATTATTTATAAAAATTAAGTCCATTATGACAGAGATTTTGACTATTTAATGTGGTATCCCAGAACCTATAAGAGGATCTGGATATGCCAGATAGTTCAATATATATTTATTCAATGAATGAATGCACATAAGGATCTACCTTGAAATTAAAAAATGAGTGAAATAATTTTTCTAATAAAAGCAAAATAACCTAAATATTTGTTTCATTACCTTTTTGCAAATTTGCTTCATTGTAACTTCCTCCAAGTTAGCACTGGCCAATAATTTCTTTACTGTTTCCTTTAACTCTTCATCTGTAGGAGGTTTCTTCAATTTCTTGATTAAAGGTTCATCATCTGAACTATCTTCAGACTCACTTTCTAAAAGTAAAGATATTTTATTAAATGTGAATAATAATCTTTCTTACACAGAAAATTAATATTTAAGGCAGGTTGGGAAGAATTTTATAGGCTTTCATCAGATCAAAGGGATAATGGATCCTAAATTATAAATCACCACTCTGTGTATTACCTACAAAGCATGCATTGAAAATTTTATGTCAATTTGAAAAATCATAAACTATAAAAAACTGGTATACAGGTTGAGCATTCCTAATCCAAAATCTGAAATGTTCCAAAATCAGAACCTTTATTAGGACCAATATGATGCCACAAGTGGATAATTCTTATACCTGACCTCATGTGACAGGTCACAGTTCAAACACTGTCAAAACTTCATTTTATACACAAAATTATTTAAAATACTGCATAAAATTACCTGCAGGCTATGTGTGTAAGGTGTATATGAAACGTAAGTCAATTCTGTGTTTAGACTTGGGTCTCATCCCCAAGATATCTCATTATGAATATGTAAATATTGGGGGTGGGGGGGAAACTAACTCTGAAACACTTCTGGTCCCGAGGATTTTGGATCTCAACCTGTACAACTTTCTTCTCCATGTCCTTCGCAGTTAATCTGTTTCCCCCACACACTCAAATACTATGTATAACACATATGCTATATATTTAAAGTTGCTGATAATGTAAGGTCTAACATACCTTTTTTGGAACTGTTTTGATTCTTCTTGGTGGTGCTGCTATCTGCCTTCTTAACATTAGCACTTTTTACAGATTTTTTACTTTTAGAAGTGGCTTTCTGTTTAGGTTTTTCTCTTTTAGATGTCTTTTTTGGTGGCTGTTAGAAAGGAAAGCAAATTAGATATATTGATGAAATTCATTGCCATCTCTCTACTTCCCCCCTATGTCCCTCAACAATATTAGAGAAAACTAACATTCGACATCACCAATTAAAAGTTATTAATACTTATCAATGTTTATGGGATTACTAATACACTCAACATACAATTTTATCACAAGTCCATGCACAACAAATCAACAATCATAAAAAATAATAGATGCCCACATTTATTATGCACTATGGATAGAAGACTTCACATATATTACTCTACTTAATCTTGAAAAAAATTCTAAAATATAGATACTATTATCTTCTCTTATTTATTTTCTGTCTCTCCCAACTAGAATCTAAGTTCTACAAAAACAGGGTTTTTCTCCCATGTTCACTGATGTATCCCAAACTACTAAAATAGTGCCTAGTACATAGTAGTTGCTCAATAAATACTTATGATTGTATGAGGAAACTAAGGATCACTGAGGTTATCTTGTCCACAGTCACATTAATAAAGAGGCAAGATTAAAATAAGAGATCTGATCCAGAACTTATATTCTCAAACACTAGGCCATAGCTAACTAAACAAAAGCAAACTATATACATATGAATAGATTAAAATGACAAAATTATAGTTTATAGTTACTTTGTCTCATCCAGGGCCTATGAAAGTAGAAAGCATTAACTCTTCACTTAATTAACATTCCCAAAGGCAATGCATCCTATTAAACAAATGTCCCAAGACAACTTAAATTCTCATTTTTATACACCAAAACCACTGAAAATCACTTGACAGAATGGTTCTCCAAATGTTTTACACTCTTGATTTCTGAGTTTCATCATCATAATTCAATTTTTTTTTTTTTTTTTAAAGAACAGAAACATTATGTTGAACCTGTCCTTTAGATTAAGGTGTATAGACCAATCTGTTCCAAAAGTTAAATGGGCTCAGACTACTTCTAAGTGTAGTTCATTAGATTTTAGTATTTGTGTTGTCTCTTCCTCCTGCCTCAGCCTCCGGAGTAGCTGGGACTACAAGCACACACCACTGCACTCAGCAGGATTTCAGTGTTTGTCTTTCTGCTATAATACCATCACTGTACCTATCTATATAAACGTACTATCACCCTGCACTACCTCAAAAACATACTGCTAGGCTGGGAACTATGTAGTTTAACTGCTACTAAAAAAAACACACATTTTTAAGAGGTGTCAAAGGACTGACATGTTTCTAAAAAGTACATTAGCTTTACCATGGACTTTAGCTATTTAGAGGCCATTTTTACTTATTTCCTAATTCTGAGAGATATTCCAGATAGTGGAGATTGTGGGACAGGTTATCAACGGTTTATCAGTTTTTTATGACTAATTTAAACTAAATTTTAAGTTTATTAAGTGTCCACCTAGTTCACAAGAACTATATTAGGCTCTGAAAGGGAATATTAAAAATTCTTAAGTTCTGTTGCTATGCTTAATACACAGAATAATCACTATTATACATTATTTCTTAGCCAAGGGCTAATAAAATCTTAACTTATAGGTATAATAAACTAAGTTATTACTGAAAGGGTCAGGGAGGGAGAACAAGAGGAAGAATACTATAAGCATTATTACTTGGTCCTCATTCAAATTAAAATTTTAGAAGGCATACACAACATGGCAGATTTTAAACCTGCATATTGGGAATAGTAATTGTTTGACAAAGCATAAACATTTGCAGTAATAAAGATCAAGCCATCTCCATAAAATTTAACTTCTGGACAAACACATAAACAATTAAAAGTATGTTACCTTTCTATAGGTCACATCTCCTATAAGGAATAATGTTCTACAGTTTTTCTAGATAGACAACTAGACTGCATCTATTAGCAAAATTTCTAAAAGACTGCAAACACAGTGCACAAGCACTGTAGAAGATATAACATAATAGTTCAAAGAGTGTGAGCTCTTGAGCCAAGCTGCCTGGTTTCAAATTCCAGCCCCAGTTCATCTCTGGGCCCCAGTTTCCTCTTTTAAAAACTAAAAGAAACAACAGTTCCTATGGTTTTATGGGGAGTAAATGCATTAATACATGAAAGTACCTTTGGTGGTGCCGGGCACATAGGCAACACTCAATAAATACTTGCTATTATTACCATTACGAGTGCTTGCTTTTGTAAAGTGAGAAATTCTTTCATTAGGTAAATGTAATTTCTTCCAACAACTTAAAGTTTGTAAGTGTTCTTTAAAGGCAGGGCAGATACTTTCTGGCAATGTTGGAGAGATCAAACAATTTTTTAAATTTAAAAAAAAGGACCGATACATAGAATATAAATTATAAAAGCAGTAAGACAGGCTTTTAATAACACCTGTATTAACTAATCATGATACATCATGCTTATTTCATTACATTATGGTAGCTATGACTTGACCCACCAACATCTGAATCACTGTATTAGTAAGTTACATTATCTATACCGGATCTCTCTTTTCTTTAGTAACTTTTCCTGTGACAAACTTAAGGTAGGAATTCAGCAAATTATCTTTTTTAGATTGATTAGTGTTGACTTAGGAAACAGTAAAAAACAACTAAACTCAAACCTAGCGTTACCTGGAACAGAGAGCTAGGATAACTGATGAGCTCGATCTTGTGCTTTAATCTTGTAAGTATTAATAATCACTACAGCTGCACTGAAGATAAGTTATCATAGGAGGAGCATCTCAAAGGACATGCCTTGCTATTGGGACACAATGGATAACTTTTGGCTTTTAAGACAAACGTGGGTAACCAGTATTTGGGAATAATGGAAAGAAACACTGGGACAGCTGAGAAGGCAAGTTAAACCCAGATCATTTAAATTTTACATGAACTTTCAAATCTTTACTAACTTTCATTCCTTTCCTCTACTTAGGAAAATCCCACTTATGATTCTAAATCCAGCCTAACAATTACCTCCTCTAAATCTTTCAAAAATACCATCAATTTGATTAATCCATACTCCTAAAGTACTTGGCCTACGACTGATTTATCCCTACTTTATGGAAGGTATTATGACGCAGTGAATAAGAACAAGAGCTTTACCACCAAACTTCCTGGCTGTAAGTCAATCCTTACTCTACCATTAATTTTACATTCTTGGGCAAATCAATTGCCCTTCTCTAAGCCCGTTTCCTCATCTATAAAAATGGAGGTACATAATACTACCACTCTGCTAACTTTAACATTTTCCCCTCATTTTTATCTCTGACACTGGGGTACATTTTATAATTTACATAAATACGATGCCTAAGAGGCATTGTAGGTTCTGTGAACTATGTTTTGTGAGGATAAAATTAGTAAATACATATAAAGCAGCAAAGAAAACAGATATTTAATATATGTACATTTATTTAATGGTAGTTATTTACACGTCTGTTTTCCCACTACACTGCAACTGGAAGCGTAGATCTGACAATCTCCAAGAGAACAGACACTTACAATTTCATTTAGGTTCCAGCAATCAGAAGAGTGTTTGGTATATATAGTATCTACTTAAAATATGTTATGTTTGCCTCTGAATCATTTATAAAACCTAGTTTACCTGTGCTTTGTTCCCAGGAGGTGAAAAATGTAATTAAAAGGAAAAAGAAAAAAGAAAAATGCATTTGTATAGCACTGGTTTCACACACATGGTCTCATGAGCTATAAAACAAAACAAAGCAATAAAAAAATACAAAGACAAAAACCAAATTGTTTATCTTATTATAAATGAGGAAAATGTATCTGAGTAGGTAAGTGAGCCAAGACCTTACAGCTAGGAAGAAGAACCTCTGATTAGGCAGTGTGCCTCCTACATATTACCTAGAGCAGCAGTCCCCCACCTTTTGCCACCAGGGACCAGTTTCATAGAAGACAATTTTTCCATGGGGGAGTGGGGCATGGGATGGTTTTGGGATGATTCAAGTACATTACATTTATTTTGCACTTTATTTCTATTATTATTATTACATTGGAATATATAATGAAATAATTATACAACTCACCACCATGCAGAATCAGTGGGAGCCCTGAGCTTGTTTTCCTACAATTAGATGGTCCTATCACCATGGAATGATGGAAGACAACTGATTTATTATGACCTCTGTGCAGTCAAACGTCTCTGCTAAGGGTAATCTGTATTTGCAGCCACTCCCCAGCACTAAGCATCACCACCTCAGATCATCAGGCATTAGATTCTCATAATGAGAGCGCAACCTAGATCCCTAACGTGCAGTTTACAGTAGGGTTTGTGCTCCTATGAGAATCTAATGCTGCCGCTGATCTGACAGGAGGTGGAACTCAGGCAGTGATGCGAGTGATAGGAAAGAGCTGTGGATACAGATGAAGCTTTGCTCCCTTGCCCACTGCTCACCTCCTGCTGTGTGGCCCAGTTCCTAACAGGCCACAGATGGGAACCAGTACAAGGCCCCAGGTTTGGGGACCACAGATCTAGAGAAATGACTAAAGGACCTAAGTAATTCTTTAAGCCAGGGTTCAAACTACAGAACTAAATTATAGTAATAAGCCAGGTGATACCACAACTTATTTATCACACACACATATATATATATTTTAGAAGAGAAAGAGTCTCATTTTGTCACCCAGGCCGGAGTACAAGTGGCATGATCATAGTTCACTGTAACCTCTAACTCCTAGGCTCAAGTGATCCTCCTGCTTTAGCCTCCCAAGTAGCCAGGACTACAGGCATATACTACCAAGCCTGCCTAATTTTTTTTCATAGAGACAGGGTCTTATTACGTTGCCCAGGCTGGTCTAGAACTCCTGGCCTCAAGCAATCGTCCCACCTCAGTCTCCCAAAGTGCTGGGATTATAGGTGTGAACCACCACACCTGTCCTATCATATTGTTTAATTTAGATCTTTTTCTCGTTACATACGAATGTTACTAACCATAACAAAGAATAAAAAATGTTAGCAGAAAATAAAGAATGCCAACAAAAGAAAACAAGCTCTGCATTAGGGCCATCCCCAGCGCTTACCCTCAAACTT